TTTTTCTTTTTGCTAATGTGGTGCTGAGGAATCGAACCCAGGGCCTCATGCATGCAAGGCAAGCACTCTACCACTGAGCCACCTTCCCAGCCCCTCTGAATTTCTTAATGTCTTTCTGCCTAATCCTTACAGGTTATTTGGCCTTGCATGTCCCATGTCCCCACATCCAGAGCCAGTGTGGCTGATCTTCACCCATGCACCATCCTGGGGGAGGACCAGCAGGGTGGCACACAGCTGTGCACTCTGCCATATGCATCAATGGGCTGTCCACAAGGTCCTCCTCTCAGAACCCCCCCCCCCAGCCCAGTCCCTGCCCCTGACACACTGGCTGTTTCCTGCACAATCAGCATGGTGGAGAAGACAAGACAGCTCACAAGGGTCCGAAGGACAGTATTTCACCTCTGGACAGTGTACTGAAGCAGCCCAGATGCCGGGCAGAAGATCAGTGTGTGGAGACACTGGAGCAGCCTTCAACCCTGACCACAATGTGGAAACTTCTGGCTATTTTCTAGGAACTACCCAGGAGTTGTCCTCCCCCACCTAGGGCAGGCCAACAGAGGCCAGGCACACAGTGTTCTACTCCCAGATGAATCCCACTCTCCCAGTAGTATGGAACAAAGCTCAGTGTACACACACCAAATGAGAACATCTAACTTCCAAACGTGGCAGCTGCAGAGCCACCCATCGTTCAGCTGCTGAGGATCTCAAGCTGACAGTGGAGATGACACAGCCTCCTCCAGCTGTGACAGCAGCTGAAGAGACAGCTCTTGGGCTGGCAAGGCCTGTGTCTCCCGAGATAGAGCCACTTCCAGCTGTGGCAGTTGAGTCCAGCAGCATCAGAGGACTTGCTCCCTCAGACAATGTCCTGACAACAGCCCTAAATGGGATCAGACAAGGTGCTGGAAGTTGGTATATTACCAACAGGCTTTGAGGACTCTGGTGCTGCCTGCCGCTGGAGAACCAAGTGAGAGTCATGAGAAGGAGGACAGCACAGACACCTGGAAAGCAAGGAGGTGGGACCTGAGCTGAGCTGCTGCATTGTAACTGTGCTCTGCTTCATGTCTTCCCGATTCCTAATCAAATTGTCTTTGCGCCCAGGGGCTGGAGGTGCATGGGGAGAGGAAAGTTAGGGTTGTTCCCAGGGACAGATTTCCAGAGAGGAGTCAACCTACTGCCATAGTTACAGCTACTGTCCTGTTTAAATGAATCCCTGACATTCCTTTTCCCCTATGTGGCTGCAGTTAAACTGGAGAGAGAGAATGATGAGGTTCTGGATGTGGATATGGTCCACTGTGGGCTCTCATCAGAACAGAGCCAAGCAGGAAGTTTACAGCTATGTCCTTCACACGACCCGACCCTAGAGTCTGTCTATCACATAGGTAGTTTGTTCCAATGGCTACAGAAAGAGAAAGTTCACCACTGCCTATATCCCTAGCATCCTTTGCAGAGGTAGTCTGAGCCTGCCTGGAGGTGTGCAGCCCCTAGTCTTTTGCCTGTAAGACTCGCCACAGAACTGTTCTTGCTTGACAGTGCATAGGGTTCCCAATACATTTTAGATTCTGAAAAACAAAAACAGATATTGAACATCCTAATACATGTTCCTAATAATAGTCATGTTCCACATGTATTTTGTCTTGTGTCTTTCATATCTCAGCTCTTAATTTGCTAGGGTTACACATGTAACCTATCAGTACCTGATTGTTTTTTGTTTGGTGGGTGGTTTGTTTTTTGGGTTTTGTTGTGTTATGTTTTGTTCTATTGTCAGTTATGGGGCTTGAACTCTGGGCTTGGGTGCTGTCACAGCACTTCACTTCTAATTTTCTAGTGGTTAATGGGAGATAAGAGTCTCACTGACTGCCTAAGCTGGCCTTGAACTGTGATCCTCTGATCTCAGCCTCCTGAATAGGTAGGATTACAGGCATGAACCACCGGTGCCTGGCTTGGTGTTGTTGTTGTTGTTTTGTTTTGTTTTGTTTTTTTGAGAGAATATTCTGTATGTATCCAGGGTTGGCGTCAAAAACTTGATCTCCCTTTGTCACCTCTAATTGCAGGGATTACCCAAGTCCCTACTTTACCCATGTGGGTTAAGTACTTTTCAAAGACAGAATAGTTCCCTTTCCCTGTGAGCATTTCCTCTATTATTAGAATCTCCTCTGGTGACAGACTTCCCCTCAGGGAAGAACATCTCTTTAATATGAAAAGTTTTTATTAATCTTATGAAATTTAGGGGAAAGTGGGAAGATGGGTTTTAAGTGAAAATCAGACTAAAACATGCTTAGTAAGCAAAAGGGAAGAGTCCTGGGAATGTGGGCCTTGCAGTGCTTGCCTTTAATCCTGGCTAATTCACAAGGGGAATATGAGAATCAAGGTTAGAAGCCAGGCTGGGTAGAAAATTCTGTGACACTCTTCACTTAATCAACAGAAAACTGGATCTGGGGGTGTGGCTCATGTGAGAGCTCAAAGACCTGAGAGGAAAACCTTGGTAGTGTCCACACACAAAAGCCATAAAAGCAACTCAAAGAAAGAGTAAAAGATTCCTAACTTTATTTTCACACACTAGCTGAGGGACCTCCTATGTATTCTGACCTTTTAGATATGAGGTGCTTATGAGAAGAAGCAGTCAGGGCAGAGTGGATGGTGTAAATGTATTCCTTGTGTTCAATCATTGTCTTCACATGCGAACATACGAACTCCTGGATACACATTTCTTAAGGCACCCAGGCGGGAACAGTGACTTCCCCCATCTCAAATGCAGGAATTCAAGCTACAGCTCTGCCAGTTCCCCCAGACTCATCAGTGGTCTGATGACCTGCCAGTTTGCTGGCTACCTAAGCATTTTTTAGAGGGGAACACGAGCAGTATTGGGGCTTGAACTCATAGCCTGGGTTTGTCTCAGGTATTTTTGCTGAAGACTGGCCCTCTACCACTTGAACCCTACTTCCCTATTGAACTCTTTACTGGTAAATTGGAGAAGAGTCTTCCAAATAATCCTGCATGGGATGGCTTCATAGACCAATCTTAGCCTCCTGAATATAAAGTACATTAAGTTGGTTTCATTAGGTAGCCGATGCAGAGAACACCAGGCGCTATTCAGGCAGGAGAAGTTTATTTACCCAACTGCTGCCCCCACCTTGCATGATGGAGAGGCAGAGCTGAAAAAGGAAGGGGTGACCCACCTCTGGGCCAGAACTTATCTAGGCCAGGGACAGGAAGAGGTGTAGCCAGGTGGGGGAAAAGTGTGGCCACACTGGCTCCAGATGTGACTTCAGGGTCTGGGACCCTCCTAAAGTCAGATGGGAAGCATGTGACCAGAAGTGGCCCAGGCTGTGGCCTAGCAAGAGGGGAAGGTGACTGCTTCCAGGTGTGCCAGTTACCTAGGAAACAGATGCTGGGTGGAAACATAGCCAAGAGATGGGTAGGTGTCCCTGTGCAGACCTTAAATTGAAAATCTAGGATTATAGGCATTATCCACCAAGCACACTTATTTGTTATTTGTATTCAAGTTGGTATATAGAGTCACTGTATCTGTTGAACAGGAGGCTTGAAGATAGCAGGTAAAATGACATTTTTGCCAGATGACACCCCATTTTTGGAACACACTGAGTTCAGGAGACAAATGCAAACCATGATTCTTTCCTGCTTTGAGATCACTATGTAATCACTGTTTAAAACTGAAACATGAACAAACCAACTACAAATATGAACATCTGAGATGTCGTGAAAGAGGCTGTGTGTTTCCTAAAAGTTGGGAGGGATTATGAGAAAATGAATGGCTAGATAAGCTTACAAAGAAAGAAGGGGGAGAGGAAGAGAGGGAGCCACATAGAGGCAATGCAGACTGCATAACCAGTTTTATTGGATATCATTCACCAGCAGAGCACATTCTTCAGAAGACTCCTTCAGATAGATATGTGTCTAGAAGGCCTCAGGTAGATAACAAATGCGAAAATGTCAGTGTTTACCACTGTCTGCCATGTCTTCACTTAGCTCTGCAGAGGAGGTGGGTCTTCCTGGGATAATGAAGGGCATGGGAGCCCAAGACACTGAAGCACTCAGCTGCAGGAAGCCTGAGGAACTTGGAGAGCTGGATCATTCATCCTGATAGCCTTTCACCACCAAGGAGTCAAGCTGACACTGAGACTGGCAGCCAAGTCCTTGTTGGTTAGGGGCTGGCTCCGGACACTTTGCAGCATCTGATAACCTTGGGAGGAAGAGGAAAGGTCAGAGCGTTTAGGAGCACAAGAAGCCTGTGGGGACACAAGGGAAGGAGGGGGAGGCAAGAGAAATCCCAGCACACCCCTCTACGAGAACCCATTCATATCCCTCATTTCCTTTTCCTCCCTCGATGACGTGACTCATACTATGGTTGACTCTGGGGTCCTGCACTGCAGGGGACTGTGGGAACATCTAGATTCTCAGATTCCTGAGCAGTCCTAGTCTTTATGATGCCATATAGGAGCACCAAGTTTGGCATCAAGGCCTCAACCGCAATTAGATCACAGACACTTACCTCGAGCTCGATAGTGAAAGCTCCTGTGCTCCAAAAGCCATATTATGCCCATCAGCCACTGCCTGGCCCTAGGTGGACCCAGCACAGTGACTCGGGTATGGCCTGTGACTGTGAACCAGGACTCCAGCTGAATGAGGGTGTGGCTGTGCTCTTCTATGCAGCGGAGGTATCTGTCCTCCTGCCCTGGGAACAGAAAAGGAGAGAGGAAGAACAGGAAAATCACCAACAGTACTGGGAGTTAGGTGAACGTGAGGGTGGAGGCTTGGCACAGATCCAAGAGGAAACATGGGGAGAGACTGATGAATGTGAAGAGACAGGAGAGGGCATAAGGGCCACCTACCGAATATTATCTGCTCCAACTCCTCTTCCAGGTAAAAGACCAATGGGGCATTGAAATTTTCAGGCTTGGTCCACCATTCTCCTATGCCAATAGAATTCATGTCCATCTTGTCTTCTCTCCTTGCTTTACTCAGCACAGAGCAAGTCCAAGAAGCTGGTTGTAGAGATGAAGAAGTTCTGAAGCTCTGGGTTTTATATACTCACTCAGATAATCCACCCTTCCCCACCCTGGACCCACCCTAGAGAGGCAGAACTAGCCCTTTAAACCTTCAAAGATAATCCACTCCATCACAGATGAATCCAACCCTGGATTCCTCCAGTCTAGATCCAAACCTTCATGAAAAACTACTTAGTTAACACAACCCATGTATCTGGTGCCTAGGAATGGAAGCTCGTTTTCACTCTGGTAGAGTGATCATGACTGAGGTTTGAGGGGTGCATATGCTAGAACAAAAATGGCTTCAGAATGGGTCTTGTTTGTTTTTCTGTCCCAACTGCGCAGGATATGGAAGAAAGAGGATAGAGAATGGAGGGATCTATCCATAAACTATCTCAATAAAAATTAATAAGAGCAAATGGTTTGGGATGTGGAGCAGTCCTAGAGCTAGGGAAGTTTCAGCACTAACAGCATTCAATCCAGGATAGGATAGAATAGGATAGGGGAGGATTTGGGAGGAAAAGCAGAGGAGAAGTGGGGATGGAACAAGACACAGCACAGGACTAGATGGGAGGACAAGGGTGAGGAAGGGAGAGGAGAAGGGAAAGGGGACATGGCTTCATTGAAGGCATCTGTTTCTTTACCTGAAGGTTTGTGCTTCAGGTCTCTTTCCATGGATGATTTTGTTTCTGTACTTCACTGGAGAAAGCTCAGTTCATGGTTTCCAAGTGGGGTCCTTTCAATCAAGGGCCAGTTAACTTTTCCTCTTTATTAGACATTGGTCTCTTCTAAAAGACTAATTCCTTAGGTTCTACCCATGCAGAGGCTAATGTAGCAATTTTCAGGTTGTTAAAAGCTGAATTATTTATTTTAAATTCACAAACACCTTTTGATCTTCATAATGATAGTCACTGTAAGCCTATGCCCAACTTTGGTCCTCAGCTCCATCCAGACCTGAGCCCCTCCCTGCCCTGGAGTTCCCAGGGTACAGCTGGCCTCTCCCTCTCTCTGCCCAGACCCGCCTAACTCCCATCTACCTCACTTCCTAACCTCCAGACCCTGCTGCTACCTAGATAGCAGAGGTCGCCATGGGCTCTCTCTTCAGGGCAAATATGGCTCCTCTTTTAATCCTTGTAATGATCTTTCTCCTGTGCCTGCCGCCTCCCCATGGTCTCCTAGGATGGATGTGATGGATCCTTTCAGTGATCATTTCAATCTACATTGCTTATGAACTCTATGACCTTTTACAATGACACTTTTTTCTTTACAAATAGAGTGATATGTTCATTTCTTTCCTTTTGCTTCATATTGCCTATTCCCTTATTCTCTCTCATTCCCTCCAACCCCATCTCCACCTTGTGTTGATTAGTTCACTGTCACCAATGTCCAGTGTCCCTTATGGGCCCTTCTGCTGTATTTTTTCACCTGCTTTCCACTGATTCTGTGCTCTGCTCCTACCTTCCCTCAGATGTGCGCATGTATACACCATAGATGAGGTAAAGAATACAGAGTCATCTAAAATGATCACACAAACTAAGAAGTGGTTCTTTGTTCTCTATCTTTGGGGTTCTTTTCAGTATGCATATTATTTTATATATAAATGGAGAGGTGCTTGGGTATTGCAGTTTGGTGGATAGCTGAGTTTTGAAGAGTATTCTGAATTTACTTTTGGAATCCATATTTTCTCTCTCTGTTGATTCTAATTATTCACTGAAAACAGGGAGGAATTTAATAGCTTTTCTAAGGACAGTAAAAAATGTCAGTAATTCTTCAGTGAAATATAGCTCACCTTGCTGAAACGGACTTTTGAACCTGACCAATAACTCAGCCAGGAAATCTTACCTACTCAGGATCCTGAGACCTGAAAGAATGCTCATCAAAACAGTGCTGTCAGAAAATTCAGGGAGTCCACACCTCCAAAATAATCAGTAACAGCTGGGCTGGAGAAGTCATATTTCAAGTGGTAGAGTGACAGCTGAGCAAGCAAGAAGAGCAAACCTGAATGCCTGAGTATAATCCATGGTGCTAGATAAAAAAGGAAAGGTGTTTCCAGACATGGGCTTCCATGCCTTTAGTCCCTTGAATCCCTATTATAGGAGACAGAGGAAGGAAGATGGTGAGTTTGAAGCTAGTCTCAAATTATGCCTCAAAACACAAAGGGTTGCATGCTGAATATTTTTTAGTTTTGTAAAAAATGGCCAAACTGACTTTCTAGTTCTTTACCCTACTCATTGGCATTTAATGTTACTAATATTCCTTGCCTTATTTTGTTTCCATTTTCCAAAGTGGCTGTCCCATCTTGCATTCCCACCACCAAGGAATGAGAGTTGCTAAAGCTTCATATCCTTGCTCATATTCAGTGTTCTCCGTTTGTTACCTTATTGTTGAGAATTTCTTAGGGTTTTTCTACTTATTTATTTACTTGTTTGTTTGTAAAGGTGCTGTAGAGAGGGGTTATTGTTACATACATCCAATTCAGAGTACATTTCTTTTCGATCAGTGTCACCCCTTTTCTAACTCTCACCCAGTTTTTCCTTCCTGTGCCCATCCATGCGTCCCCACCCATTTTCAATCATGTTTTGTGAGTGTCACTGCTGTATTTGTTCCCCTTTGTCCCTCCATTTCTGTGCTGACCATACTATCCTCTCCCATGCTCTCCCATTTTGTCCTGTCCTGTTGTCCTGTTCTGTTTTCTCTTCTCTCTTCTTCTTTCTCCTCTATCTGATCATAATCTATCCTGCATTGAATGTGTCAGTACTGAAGCTTCTCTAGCTCTACTACTGTACCACATCCCCAAATGTTCTGACCATACTATCCAGCAATTGTACATGTGGGTATTTGGCTCCAGGACTCCAAAGTATATATTTACATAAGCATTTTCACATCAGTATGTGTTGTAACTTTATTCTCAATTGTCAAATGCTAAAGAAAGCAAGGTATCAGTGAATGGATAAATAAACTACGATATATCCAGACAACTTGGTAATCTTCACCATTGAAATGGACTGTCACACCTAAAAGACTTGGAAGAGCCTTAAATGCCTATTTCTATGTGAAAGAAAATCCACCTGAAGAGGGTCAGATCTGTATGTTTCCAACTATTTTATCCCTATGGATAAAATTAAAAGATCAGGGCTGCCATTTATGGTTAGGAAAGAGGAGTAAACACAATACAGAATATGTAGGACAACAAAAATACCCAATACTACTGTCATGATGCTCTCAAGACCCATATGATGGACAAAAGGTACAAAAGGAAGGGCTGGGAAGGTGGCTGAGTGGTAGAATGCTTGCCTTGCATCCATGAGGCCCTGGGTTTGATTCCTCAGCACCAAATAAGCAGAAAAAGCCACAAGTGGCACTATGGCTCAAGTGGTAGAGCACTAGCTTTGAGCTGAAGAGCTGAGGGACAGTGCCCAGGCCCAGACTTCAGGCCCCAAGACAGCCAAAAAAAAGAAAAGGAAAAGTATGCCATCAGTTATAACAGATGTTCCCCTGAGATTGGAAGGCATTGATTAAAAATAGATAAGTTGAGGGGAGGGCAGGACATATTTGGGAAATATCTTTTAGGGTTTAAGTAAAATAAAACTTTCACTGAAATAATAAAATTTCTTTCTCTCTTCCCTCCCCCCCTCTCTCTCTTTTTGTTGGTCATGGAGCTTGAACTCTGTGCCTGGTTGTTGTCCCTCAGCTCTTCAGCTCAAGGCGAGTGCTCTACCACTTGAGCCACAGCGCCACTTCCAATTTTCTGGTGGGTTTTTATTGGAGGTAAGAGTCTCATGGACTTTCCTGCTCCAGCTGGCTTTGAACAGCAATACTCATATCTCAGCCTCCTGAGTAACTAGGATTACAGGCGTGAGCCACTGGAGTTAGGCATCACTTTCTATTTTGAAAAAGCAGGGAAAGAAGACCATCATGAGTTGGTGTGTGGCCAGTGGTAGAACACTTGGCACACTCAAGTATACCAGGAAATTATGTCTGAGGAATACTGGCACTTGCACACACACTGTGTTGCCATTTTCTTTTATCAACCCATACTACAAACCAGGGTTCTTATTTCCAGTGAGAAGTATAATTAATACCGGATGCTGAGGATGGGAATGTGGCTTAGTGGTTAAGTGCTTACCTAGCATGCATATAAGGCCCTGGGTTTGATTCTCAGATGCTAGTGGCTCACACATCTAATACCTAAGTCCACTACTCAAGAGGCTGAGATCTGAGTCTGGGAAGACCAATCTGACCATAAATTGACAGGGAAAAGGCTAGAAGTGGGTCAGAGATTCAATGGTAAAATGGCAGCCTTGAGAAAAACAGTCAAGCAAGAGTTCAGGCTCCAGTGTGTCCACAAACAGGAAGGAAGGGAGAAAAGAAGGTGTGAGAGAGAAACCACCAGTTCAACTCCAGTACTAGCACAGATACACACAAAGGGACAATTAACATCCAATATTGTTTGTGACTTTTTTAATTTTATTTTTTCGTAATTATAAATGTAATTTATTTTGGTAATTATAAACATATTTGAGTTACTGAAATCACTGAGAATGTCAAGCAAACTCAAGTGTTCCTAAAACCTTTCCTTATAAGGAGAAAGGTGTCATTTTTACTAATGATGGTCAAACCAAAACCAAAACACAGATAAAAGTCCATTTTTCCAAGATGCATGTCCTTATGGGGGAGACAAATGGGAAGTTCTTGGTCTCACTGAGGGAAGAATTCAGGAGCTGATCCACGGAGGACTTTGAACACAAGTTAACTTCTGGCAAATCTACATCTTAAATCACATTTTTATTGTCTTTAGGTATACAAAGGGACTTCCATTCAACAAATCTGTTCATAAGAACAATGCATTTAGACCAATGTCACCACTTTAATCATTCTCCCCTTTTCCAAGTCACCCCCTCTTCTCGGTTTTCTTGAATATGCATTAAATATTAAGAGTGCATTATCCTCTCTCCTCTTCTCTTCGTTTGATCACCTCCTCCCCTTCACCTCCCCAAGTACCAGTTTCCCAGACTTGTTTTTGTTTAACTGTGGGTTAGTTGCTCTTTTCCTTTTATATTTTCTTCTGGATTTTTGAGTATCGTGGACAACTTTCATAGGGAGGAGCTGAAAAGGATACAAAACCAGGAAATATATATATCATATATATGCATATAATATTATTTTATAGTATACAAAGATAGGGTCCTCTGAGGGCAGATTGGGGGCAGCAGGCCCCCTAACAGAGAGCAGCCCTTGGCTCCACTCTCCAGACTCCTCCCCTTCCAGCTGTCAGGGTGAAGGACTTGCCTGGCACTGACAGCTCTTTCCAGTGCAGGGGTCTGAGGAATTACACCTTCTGAATTCTCCCCTGCAAAGACCATCCTTCCATTAATCCCTTTGTGTACACTTGACGTACAACCACGATGCATTTACTTCTACATGTCTCATCTCCACTAACCACAGGAAGTCCGGGAGTAGACAGTGCTAGCTGTGATATCTAAGTTGCTATTCACTGGCAGAATGTTCTCTATTGTCTGGCCTCAGTCTCTCTTGCTATTAGAAATTTACTCTCTTCCTTGATATCCATGAAAATAAAATGTGAAATCAGAAAACAGAACAAAGTTACCGATAAAGGACAAACTTGTTGCTAAAGAAAAACTCCAGGCTAAGGCTGACCAGCAGTCAGCTCTAACCCCTTTACATCCTTGCTAAAAAGCAAAAGAATGTCTCTCCATCTCTCAAGTTTACCAACCAAGCTGGTAGCTTTGCAATTTACCACAAACTTTACTGAAGCCACTGACAACCTTGAGGCTTATTACCAGCTGAACTGAGTTGCTGTGTTAGTCCAGAGCTTACAATGAAAATCATTTCTGCCAGGCGCCAGAGGCTCATGCCTGTAATCCTAGCTACTCAGGAGGCTGAGATCTGAGGATCACAGTTCAAAGCCAGCCCAGGCAGGAAAGTATGTGTGAATTTTATCTCCAAAAAACCCCCACCAGAAACCAGATGTGGTGCTGTGGCTCAAGTGGTGGAGTTCTTGCCTTGAGCTGAAGAATTGAGGGACAGCCCCCAGGCTCAGAGTTCTAGACTGACCACTGACCAAATTTATTTTAAAAATCATTACTGTAAAATAGACTATCCCCACCCAAGCCTGTATTTTGACTTCTGTAATCCAAGGATCTGTTTTGACTTTTTGTAATTAAGTATTGATAGTGTCAATAGCATTGATACTATGGGTCATGCTGACCAAGTCAAGATTATGTTTTGCCTATGCTCCTGTGATCAGAGCTATGTTTTGCTTCTATGTATCTTTTCTTGCTTGCTTTGGTATACATCACCCACATGAAACCCTTCCTTATAAAAGTCCTCCATGAAACGCAAACAGGGCTGTTCTGCAGCTCTGAGAGCTAAGGACAGATGTCATGTGGTTAAATGAAAAGCTTCCAGCCAGATTGACAAGTGCTGTCATATCTTCCTGGGAAATTGGAGTACTGCATCTTAAATTGGAATACAACACTAGCCTTGAACAAAATAGCTCAGTGACTAGAACCTGAGTTCAAGCTACAGAGCCACCAAAAGATAGAAAAATATATAAATATAATCAAAGCACTTTCAAAATTAACCATTTAATTTCCACCTTCTGATTTCACATCTCAGGAGATATGGAAAAGTCAGTTCTACACTCAGCTATCTACATAACTGTGTTTTCTGCTGCAGGTGTCTGTGCTATTTATTTCATGAAATCATTTTGATGCCCCAAAAGCAATGCATAATTTATGTGCTTAATTGATGTGGTAAAATAAAAAATCCGAAATTTCTTGAGAGGGGTTGTTTTTCCAGGGGTGTTGGAGGCATTACAGGAAGAATGAATGGGCTGTATAAGCTTGTAAAATAACACAGGCATGAAAGATGACTGAGGCTTTCCTCAGCACATGCCCAGAATGCACGAGGGAGCCAATGGCTCCGCATGGGCAGACCTGTCAATGTCTTCCAAGACTTTCTCATCATGGGCTGGGCAAGACTCACCTCCCATCTAGCTTCCCAGGGGAGGTCAGCCTTTACAGCATATAGAATGAACAGAAATGAAACCAAAGACCAACAAGGAATTGAGCCACGGAAACCAGAGGAAGATGGAAAGACAGATGCCACCTCGTGCTGACAGGCAAACACAGGTGCCAGGTTTCCAGCTGCATATGGAGACAACTGAGTAAGTACGATTTACTCAGGCATTGGCTCCAGACACTCTGCAGCCTTTGCAGGCCTGCTCAGAGGGAAGAACTGATCAAACAGAGCCTACAAGTAAGCCAAGATGCCTATGGATCACTAGGGGATAAGGAGATACCCAGCCCATCCCTGCCTAGGGACTCACGAATATCTCCCCAATCCCTTCTTCATGAATAACTTCATGCCACAAAGTGCTCAGTTCTGGGTTCCCACGAACAGAGTGTGTCTTCAAAAATTTAACCAGCCTTCAAGAATACCAGGGCTGTCATGAAACCTTCAAACCCAATTCAGTCACAGACATCTACCTTGGCCTTGACAGTAAGTGTCTTGGTGCTCCAAATACCAAACCCTGTGTATGAGCCACTGCCTGGCCCTGTGTGGACAAATGACAGCGATGGACAGGTGGAGTCTGGCCTGTGCCTATGAACTCTGGCTCCAGCTGAATGAGGGCACGGCTGTGTTCTTCCATGCAGTAGAGGTAGCAGTGCCTTTGGCCTTGGAACAAAAGAGAGAACAGCTAAGCCACCAGCATTAGGGGGTGCTGGAAGGGAAGAGGAGGTGCTGAAAATGGGGGCCTTTCCCAGACACAGGAGGAGGCACAAGGAGAATCTAGAAAGCATACTGAAGACAGGAGCTAGGCTTGTGTTTGTCCCACAGCACTGCTTAGGAGACAAATGTTCAGTGCAGAAGCCAGAAAGGAGCCTGAGCCGAGGAGAGAGGTTCAAACCAGAGATTTAGCTATGTGCCATGATAACAAGGCCAGGAAACTGTGTGTATGCACGTATGTGTGCATCACAAGGCCATGTGTACGTATGGCCATGTAAATGTGTATGCGTGTGTGTACCACAAATTTATTATATATATATTTGTGCATGTATCTATACATAAGTGTGTATGTCTGTTACACGCCTGGGTGTCCCTGTGGGAGAATGGAGCTGCCCTGTCCCATCCTGAGACTGTGCGGGTCCCACTGGAAACCTCTGCGGTGGTGACCACCATGGCCGCCGCTGGGGATCGCGGCCATGCACAGTGACAACATGCCAGGCCATCCCAGGACACATGTCACCGGGAACGGGTGGGGCTGGGCAGGCCCCAAGAGACAAAATGACTCATCCAAGGTAACCACCAAGCAGCAGAGGAGGGGTTCGAGTCCACCCAGGTCCCGGAGGCTGAGCGCTGTTGCACGGGGCCACCCAGGCGTGGAGGACAGGGCTGCAGACATCCTGCTGTCAGCACGTGACAGGCCGGGCTCATGGCGTGGGGGCGGGGAGGGCCCACGCGGACGCGGAGATGACCTCACTGGCCTCACAATGCACGAATGGAACCTGGAACCCAGGGTCCAACAGCCACGCTCGCCGCAGACCCTGGCTCACTTGTCAGGCGACGGCGGAGCAGGCAACATGTCCTGTGAGCTCCCTTCGTCCCCTGGCTCAGATGTCAATGGATGGTGGGGAGGGAGGCTGGTCCGTGCTCTGCGACGCTGGACCACAACCCGGGTGACACCCCACTCCGGATCCGGATACCAGCCAAGATCCCATCCACAGCCCCCTCCACGCCCCCGCCCCGAGCCCAGAGCCGAGCCAAGGCCCGGGCCGAGACCTCAGCGGGGATCCCGGCGCTTCTGGCCCTTTCGCTGGAGGAGCACGAAGGTGGCCCCTGCCAGCCAGGAGCAGACCCCTGAAGGCCAGGGGGACACCCAGACTGCTCATCGCCCAGCCAGTATGCTTACGGTCCAGGAGCACACCCTGACCACCCGTGACTTTTCCTGGATTTATGGGATCCAGGGCCGCCCAGTGTCTGTCCTGGGGCCCGGTATCCGGGGACGCCCATTGACTGTCCGCGACCCACCCCAGGGGCTCGGTATCCTGGGACACCCAGTGACTGTCTGCGGCCTGGCCCAGGGGCTCGGTATCCAGGGATACCCAGTGATTGTCCGCGGCCCAGCCCAGGGGCCTGGTATCCAGGGACACCCACTGATTGTCCGGGGCCTGGCCCAAGGGCCCGGTATCCAGGGGTGCCCAGTGACTGACTGCAGCCCAGCCCAGAGGCCCGGCATCCAGGGACGCCCAGTGACCGCCCGCAGCCCGGCCCAGAGGCCCGGTATCCAGGGGCGCCAAGTGACCGCCCGCAGCCCGGCCCAGAGACTCGATATCCAGGGGCGACCAGTGACCGCCCGCGGCCCGGCCCAGAGACTCGATATCCAGGGGCGACCAGTGACCGCCCGCGGCCCAGCCCAGAGACTCGATATCCAGGGGCGCCCAGTGACCGCCCGCGGCCCGGCCCAGAGACTCGATATCCAGGGGCGCCCAGTGACCGCCCGCGGCCCGGCCCAGAGACTCGATATCCAGGAGCGCCCAGTGACCGCCCGCGGCCCAGCCCAGAGACTCGATATCCAGGAGCACCCAGTGACCGCCCGCGGCCCAGCCCAGAGACTCGATATCCAGGAGCATCCAGTGACCGCCCGCGGCCCGGCCCAGAGGCCCGGTATCCAGGGACGCCCAGTGACCGCCCGCGGCCCGGCCGGGATCCCCAGGATTGGGGGTCTGATATTCAGGGAAGGGACCTTGGCGGAGGCACCTGAGAAGCCACTGCAGCCCAAAGTGGCCGTGAGGTCCTTCCTGGCAGTGCCCAGTCCCTGGGTGCAGCAGCTCCCGGTCTTGGTGGAGGAAGAAGAACCTCAGAGCCACACCGGCGCCGAGGACCTTGAGCCCCCGAAGGCAGGCCACGACGCTGAGGACCACGCACTGGCCCCGATGGACCAGCGAGCCCCGGCCTGCTCCAAGGCCAGGGACCTCCTGGAGGCCGAGCAGGCCTTGGAGATGGAGCTGGCCCTGCTGGACCTGGCGCTGGCCAAGGAGAACCTGGGCCTGGTGTGCGACAAGGTAGCCTCCAGGACCCCCTACGACAACCTGGACCTGGACCTGGACCTGGACCTGGACGACTACCTGGAACTCGACAGCAACTTGGACTTGGAAATCTAGTGCCCCATGATCTCCCACAAGGGCCCGGCGTCGTTGTGATCTGGGACGCTGAGGTCCAGCGGCTCTGCTGACCCCGTGGAGGAGGCCGTGCCCCCAGACTCGTCCACCACCCGTCCAAGTGTCCCAAGCTGAGACCCGCAGATGTCACCGCCCCTCCCTGACCCCCACCCCGCCCTCCTCAGAGCCCCGTGCCCGCCCCTCCCGGAGACCCTGCCCTCCCCTTGGACCACCCGAGACTGCACTTTCCCCTCATTTATTTCATATTTGATTTGTAATGTTAGTGGTTTAATAAAAGTTCATTGTGACTCACT